AAATGTAAAAACACTGCTTTTTCGCGCATTTTTTAAACTTTGAACACGAATTACACCCAAACGGCTAAAACCACACTAATATATCGATACTTGCTAGATTCCCCAAACATTCAGCTTTCATATGCATATTTTGGCTTCATTCGATGTATAATAGTTTTCTAGAAAATCAATGAAATAATTGAAATAAATGTATTTTTTCGTGTTAAACATTGTTTAATATTGTTTTTTTTTTTGTTAATTCAACAAACTGTGGCTTCGAAAACTGGGACTCCCCTCGTCCCCAAATTGGTGACGGCGAAGAGGCTTCCAGCTGCAGGCTGCTGAAGACGTTGCTCGGCGTTCATCTGTACCCTCGAAGTGGTCACGAAGAGCACCTCCAAGTCACGACCTCCGAACATCACCGAAGTGACGTACCGTCCGGGAATGGCGATCCTCCTGAGGATCCTCCAGGTGCGCGAATCGATCTGCAGCACCGATCCGGCCCCATGGAGCGCCACCCAAAGGTTATCATCCTCGTCGATGGTCATTCCATCAGGAAGCGCCGACGCACCCAGATTCTTCAGATCGATTCCGACGCGACGGTTCGAGATGGCACCGGACGCATCGTCATAGTCGTACTCGACTATCTGATACGTGGGCGTGTCGATGTAGAAGAACCTATCGTTGGCCTTGCTCCAGGCTAAGCCGTTGCTAACGGTGACGGGCTTCACGGCAGCCTTCGGATGTTTCAGCGTCTCCTTGGTGATGAGGAAAAGGGACGCGTCGTCGGGGATAACACCAGACGAATTCTCGTACCCAATAGTCCCTGTTAAATAAATAAGACAAACAAACAAAAGGTAAACTCTAATAAATTGTGTCAATGTCATGGTTACCGAACCAAAGCCGCCCTCGACTGTCGGCCTTGCCATCGTTGAATCTGCTGCTGGGAATGTCCTCGGCAACCGTCGTCAACAGTTTCTTGCACTTGATCTGATGCTTTCCATCCCATTCCATCGAGATCACCGATCTGTTGACGCCAACCACGAATCTGTGCGGATCTCCTTCGCACTGCACCAAAGGAGAAACGGTTCCATCTAAATGAACGTAATAACTTTCCTCCGTCTCAGGGTTGTAACTGTAAACGCGACCCTCTTTGATGTCCACGAAGTAGAGAAGACCCGTCCTCGGATCCCACGTGGGTCCTTCCCCGTGCTCCAACGGCTCCGTCAGTTGAATAACAGCGGGATTCTTCGAAAATCCATAACAGAGAACGCTTAGAAATAAAAAAAAAAACAGTGAATTTTGTTGGAGCAATTTTTCTCGAGCAATTTTCTTACCTGTCGGCGAGCAGCAGAGCGAGAAACGCGCTAAAAACAATCATCTTTGTGGAATGACCTCAGCACACTGCGAAATCCATTCTAAATTCATATATTCATATATATATACAATAACAATAAGAGACAACAAGTAACTTGGAAGGAAGGGGGCTGTGCTTTATCGTTTTCGTTAAACAACAAAATACTTGAAATTATCCTTAAATTATACAAGTTACCTTCGCATTACTTTAGTTCCTCAATTGTTTCTAATCATTGAAACGTAACTAGCGATAATTCGAATGCAAATGTTTAACGTTTCCATGGTTATTCAATTGCTAATAAAATTGAATGCAAATTTCAAATTTATCAAAGAAGCTACAAGAGTTGCCTATCGAAACTGAACTGATTTTGCGTGTACACTCAGTATATCAATTTATTCATTTGCTACATCAGTTGTGATCCAATTAGACTAATAATTAGCAATTAATTTGATTGTGCGATTATGCATTATTCAATTTATTATGTAATTAGTGTAGGCAACTCGAATTGCACCATCTGACAGCAATCATAACCTCGCTTTTTCTCAAGAGCCCCCAACAACCTCTGGTGCAGAGATCACTTAGGTAACCAGGATGGTGGTACTCAAGATGTTTCAGCAGGTGAGACACCTGAACGCCTTCTCCGCGGCGGTGACGAGACCCCACAGGATCCTGTACGAGAGGACCTATCAAACTGTTATCGTCAACTCGGACGGTTCGTCGTACAACATCAGATACCATGAGCCCAGGCAGATCATCAAAGTAATTTCACCTTCAAATTTTTAAAAGCAAACACATAAATTAAAATCTCCTTTATTTTGATGCAGATGCCGATCAACGTTTGGACGTTGAGCGAAGCCGAACGTAAGGCGAGATTGGAGAAACGGAAACCCAAGCAGAAGGTCAAAATAATTGATGATATTGACGATGAGTATGATTCAAAGAAGTACCTGAAGTATCTCAAGAAGAAGTAGTTTGTGTGCATTTGCATCATTTCTATTAGTTTTGTTTGTTGCATCCGTGCAGCTAATATATATTGTTTTTTTTTTTGTTTTAAATCTCTTGTTAAAATTATACCCCATCTTGTAACTGTAATTGTTTTACAACAATTCAATTTAGAATATCCATGGTTACAATATAACAACGCAATGGTTAATGAAAGTTAATTATTTATATGGTAACCATGGATACTTATTAATTAATGAAAACAACGGATTACGCAACAGCGGTGAAATTGTACGACGAATCGAATCGTTTGAATTCGTTGGGGACTTTCGTTAATTAATCCGTACTTTCGTTATGCAAATCGTAAGAAACAATGGTGCAACGAAAGTCGCTTTGAGAATCCAATTTCACTTTTTCCTCTCAATTATGCAATTGTTTTCTTTACTCTTTTATTTCGTGCATTATTATATATATAATATGGATAACATCTTAAAATTTTTGGCCGCTTTTACTACCAGTTAAACGTTAAGAGATTAGGCCACAATGTTATCTTCAATTTGCACATTGGATAATCCGAGTTAGCGTGCGTTGAATAATCAAATTCACAAACAAAAGGTGAAGTTCGTATTTATTGGTTAACTTTGACGGCTTATAACAGGTGAACGGTGATAAGCACGAATCGCTGATTGGGCTCATTCGAAAGGCCACAGTTTTATCTTTAATTTACATATTGGATGTTCGAATTAGCGCGCTTTGTTATCGAATTATTAAGTGAAACGTGAAGGCGTGTCAAATATTAGAATCACTATATCTCGCTTATTAATCGAGATTACGAAACAGTAATGGTATCAAAAGATTTGCAATTAATTACTGGGTCTTAAGTAATAATCAAATATGCGAAGTGTTAATTGATTATTTATATTTATAATATTATTTATTTGTTGGCGCCATTTGATGATTCGGCTTGTGGAGGTGAGAGGGCGTTGGTGTCCGTCCCAACAGATGGTACGAATTCATCATCTTCCCCCCACCTCATAAAGACTTCGTGTGAATCCGCTAATGTTGGTGCATTTTCCAATTGGAGCGACTGAGATGGTTGTCACATCGTAATGGAGTGAAAGACGCGAGGGAAGGATTGGGTTTTCGTGTGTACGAGAAGGATGGATAGTGTGAAGAGAGGAGAGCTGCAGCAGCAGCAGGCAGGCATTTCTAAATACACATCATAGTCGAGTGAAAGCTTGCATTGCATCGGTCTCGTTGTATATTTACGTGTGTGCGCGATCTCCGGAGAGCTGAGCCTAATTGGAATTTCAGTTGGTGTCGATGATAATAGTAATAGTAACGATGATGTTGATGATGATGATGATTATGTTCAAGTGCGTTCGTCGCGAGATCTAGTTGTTGCGGTTGCAATTAGTGCAATAACCAAGGTAACGAGAAACAAGTGCTGAGGCAAGCAGAAGAATAGGAAAAGAGTGTGTAACAGAAGAAGAAGAAGACGAGAGAAAAAAAAAAGAAGACCGGAATCCTGCGGGGTTAAAGAGAGCCGCAGCGGTGCAAAACTGTCATCAGGGAATCCTGCTGCAGACGATGATGATGATGTGACGGTGGTGGTGGTGGTGTTCTATGCAGAAACATCTGAACGACGACTGTAAACAATCTCCGGGATTGGCTAGAAGAAGAAACAGTTGCTGCAGAGAAACAAAACATAGACTGTGTGTGTGTGTCTCCATGGGAGTGTGTATCAAGCAAGCATCTGTCAGCAGCAGCAGTAGAGACACACCACAGCCCTGACACAGATTGGCAGAAGGCCCCCCTTTACGAACACACAACCAAAAAAAAAAAAACAACCCCCCAAAGAGTGCTCTGATATTTTGTTTCAATTTTTGTTTTTAGATGCAATCCATCAGTCAGACAAAATTATAATGTGCTCGAGGCAGATCAAATACAAATGCTGCTGTGCAGAATTATGTACGAAATTGGTTAACAACACATAACTGCAATCTTGTGAGATAACGACAGAAAAAAAAAAGAAAGGGACCACACACACACACACATAAACACAACCACTCATCCAAATCTCTTGCCTATTTATTATTATTATTTCCATCTGATTCTCATTCATTTGGACTGTAACTCTCGGTGGTACACTCACAACGACAACAACAGAAACAAACATAACATTTTGAATCAGTTAAATGATGTATACGAAGGGCAAGGGCAATGAGCCAAAAATTTCCTGCATGTACGACACCCCCTGCGACCCCACCGACTGCGACTACGAGAAGCTCTTCTGCCCCAACAATGAGCTGTCAGAGCCACCGAAGAGTCGCAGCGACAGACTCAAGACTGGTCTGTCATGTCAGGCTCTGAAGCATGCCGTTGCCTCACTCCATCGCACAGACGACTTCCACAAGGAGAAGATTGGATCCGGCTTCTTCTCCGAGGTCTTCAAGGTGAGTCCACATAATAATCCAATTAGATCCCATTAAATCATGTGACTGTATGAGTCTGCAACTTTCTTCACATATGCAATTCATGTATATTGTACATTCCATGGTTATTTTTGATTCCCTCAAGTTTCACCAAAAAAAAAAAAACCCCCCTATACATTTAAAGAAAAACGACCCAATAATATTTCGTGTTGGCAACAACAGTTCCTATAAGACAAAAATATCATTAAACTTTGGTAACTTTTTCGTTTATCAAGTTTAAAGTTTGTAATTAACAACTGTCAATATTCAAATGCGTTTCTAATAAAAACATTCCATTCACACTAATTATACAATTTAAGAAAGTGGAGATTCTCAATTTCGTTTCGTTGTTTGCAATACCAAAATGAATGAAGGGTATTTATATACTAATTCTTTTTCACAATAATCATAATTAGAAGCGTTGCCAAAATTGGCTTTCACTCGAATAAATTAGGTACGAATGATGAGCATCGCGATCGATCATTGTAACGAAATTTCGTGAATTTGGAAAGGTGAAACAATGCGAAATTTCGCAACAATTGTTGTTTTGTTTTTGTTGTTGGGGGAGTTTCGTTAATTATTAATTAATGTTGGTAATGATGAATTTTGTTTTCAAAATGCGACTACTTGATTTGATTCTAATTGCCTTTCGTACGTTCGTGCAATCAATTTCGAAGAAAGCACACAATAAATAATAAACATTTGCTCGGGCGCTCTCTTATCTTAATCGCATAGCTTTACTTTATGACTGCGAAAACAAAAGATTAGCCTACGTGATCTCGTTTCGAGAATTACTTTTCAATTTGTTTCATTGTTTAAAACCCGAAGAAGAAGATTAACTTGCAGTTATCTTCACGATTGTAAAGAATCAAAATAAACGGATGACTGTGCTAATTGCAGAAAATAACAACAACAATGACAACGACAGTGGCGGCGACAACAACAACGGCACTTCTTTTATTTTTATTTTTGGTTGAAATTTTGTGACCTTCGCTCATGTTTATTCCTACTGATAAGGACGAGCGAGATAATGTAATTCGCACCTGATAAAACTGTTGTTGTTAATTTACAATGAAAATGAATGTAATTAATGTATCTCTGGTGGAGTGACGCAAAAAGCAACCAAAAAAAAAAAAGAAGTAATAATAAATTAAAGCCGAAATAAAGACGCATTCGACCTGATTCAATTGTTTCTGCGAGTTCCTCTCAAATCGCAGTTGGCTTCTTCCATGTTGCTTAGCAACAGATTGCAGCTGTAATATTTGCAATTGATGTTCTCTAACAGTTGAAGCATTCGAAACATGTATATATGATTATTGTTGTGTTGATTTGCGAATCCTCAGTTTTCGGCGCCAGAGTAACCATAGCAACAATAAAATAATAATAGAAACAACAGATGACGATGATGATTAGTTGCATGATGATTGCGGATGAAGTGTAGAAAGCGGAGACGGACGGAAAAGTTGCGCAACTTTTCTATGTTTCAATGAAGACGAAGAACGAGCGCAACATTAAATAATAATAATACTAATAACAGAAGAAACTAAAAGTGTCGGAAATCGAGGAATCCCGGTGGGCGGCAATACTACCAATTGTTTGTGTTACGTAACTAACGACTCATTTTTTGTTTCTGTTGTTGTTGTTGTTGGTCCGGTATTTCCAAACTTTCGGTTAACTTATAAAAAAAATAATAAAAGGAGGAATGTTTAATTGATGAGGCGCTGAAAGCTCGACTTGGCAGCAGGCGACGACGATTCACCTCTTTTCTTTTTTTTTTCTTATTGCTTTGTTTTTGAGTGTTTGAACGTTAAATTTAGACCGAATATAGAATATGTCCGTCTCTTTGATCGATCAAATTCGCGAGCGAAGGATGAGATGATGAGACAAGAGGACGTTAAATGCAGCAGTGAGCAGTAGCTGCTGCTGCTTCTTTCGCAACATCCGAAAATAGGATGTGGAAGCGCGGAATTTTGTTATTTTCTTCGCGATTACGTAAAAGCGTTCACTTTCGTGGATGCGAAATCACCCAGGTTTGCCAATTTCTCGTTGCCAACCTGCTAATAGTGCATATGCAAAGTTGCCATGGTAACGGAATTGCGCTTATTATATACGTGTTTTCGCCAATTACTGCTGCTAATTATCGGCCATTTATCTAATCGAATCGTTAAATCCCGCAATCTCGTTCGTTATCTTCAAGTATTTCGGTGTTACCAAGGGGACGCCGTCGTTATTCATCCATATTTCTATGGTTACGCAACGAAATAGAATCAATGAATTCATCTTTAATCAAAGCAATAACAATGGCGAGAGCATTTTAGCACTTTAGTGGTAATCGGTTTTGCACTTTCTTTGCGATTGTTCCTTTTTTTTTGTAAATTTTTTGTGAATTGGTATTGCTTTCATATTGACATTTGGTTACTTACATTAGTTACTAAATTTGTTGATTTTTAGTGATATTTCGCATTCAACAATTGGCGATTCTAAATGAGCTGATTCGAAATGTCATTTGACGTTTCCAATGTCGGTTTTTAGTAAATCGAGAATTGATTAAGATTGAACATCATAATGATAGCATTAAAAATAAAGAGTAAATGTATTCGTTTTGGATATTTGCATCGGAATTTGCTCTTCGCGTCGTTTCTTTTTCTTTTTTTTTAATTTTTGGTGATTTATTTTTTTTGTGAATTGGTATTACTTTCATATTGACATTTGGTTACTTACATTTAGTTACTAAATTTGTTGATTTTTAGTGATATTTCGCATTCAACAATTGGCGATTCTAAATCAGTTGATTCGAAATGTCATTTGACGTTTCCAATATCGTTATCATAATGATATCATTAAAAATAAAGAATAAATGTATTCGTTTTGGATATTTGCATCGAAATTTGCTCTTCGCGTCGTTTCTTTTTGTTTGTTTTTTTAATTTTTGGTAAGAGAGCATTTTAGCACTTTAGTGGTAATCGGTTTTGCACTTTCTTTAAAACCTTATTTGCGATTGTTCCTTTTTTGTTTTTGTTTGTTTGTTTCCAAGGATGCTGGACAAATGCAGATGGTTTTTTGTTTTTTTTTGCACAGCGTGTGCCATGATTCCTCCTCCTCCTCCTCCTGCTTTTTACCATTGACCTTAAACGGTGTCCTCCGATCGGTGTGGTCATCGGTGTTGTGCCTTCCTCGTTGGTCGTTTGAATTTGAATCGCGCTAGGCCATGGGTCCATTTCGTTGTTCTTGTCATCGCCTGTTGTTTCAAAGCCACCGCGATCGCAGAAGTGTGTCAAGAATATGAGCATTGACATTAGTAGTGAATGCAATGCATTAGAAATGATTTAGATTTAGATTGAAGAAACAAAATTCGTTGAATCAATTGTGAATGCGAGAGTAAAATTGAAATTATTTTGAGACAAATTTGTTGTATCTTACGGCGGTGGGTAGGTGAGATGTGCGTGCGCGTTCATAAAAGTGTCTTAGGTTATTTCTGTTTGCCGAAAGATTTAAACAGAAATCGGATTTCCACCGAAAACAACAAACAACAAAATGTACGCTGTAACAGAACTGACCTATAATAAGCACACTTTTTCTCTCTCTTTCTCTCTCTTTCAGTGAAAAAGAGTATCAATATTTCTCTCTCTTTTTCTAAATATTTGCGTTTCGGAAACGCACTCAAAGACGACAGAGAGAGAGAAGAGCTGAGTTTCAGGAATAGAACAGAGTTTCGGTAATCCATCCGTTCATTATCGAAAACAGTTTCGACTTCATTTTCAATTTGCACAGTAACCTTGATATTTTCTTTGCAAAATTTACCCGATTAATCGATTCGCAGGTGTTACGTGATTAAAAGAAAAAAAAATTGAACATCGAATATGCGTAAACGCGATAAGATAAGTTGGCGCGTTTTTCTTTTCCCCGTGATTAATAATGTTTTGTTTCCACGGAAATTACGCGTCAGTTTTGTTTTCTCGATTCTAGTGAAATATGTGGATTTATACAAAATGTACATTTTTATTGTTGTTGTTCACTTATTTTTAATTAAATCGATCGGCCTTCGTCTGTCCTTCGAGTTCATTTGTTGAGTTTATCAACTTGATATATAAAAATAAAATGCAGACAATTGCAGTGATCACAGATGGCGTTTTTCAAGATTGGCGATATTCGTAGGCAACCGATTTGCCCTTAACTCTAAATCGTAGGCAACTGTTTATCATCATTCGGTTGCGAGAAAAACAGGTTGGCCGTGACGGGAAACGTTTAATATAAATTGATAATTATTGTTTTCATTTAGCGCCGTGATTCATTCATTCATTCATTCTCAGTGGGCGCGCGGGGAAAATAACAGTTTCGTTGCACTTAAATTGTGTTGCGCTTCTTCTGTTTTTTCTTTCTTCTTCAATTTCCGCACTTAAACTAATTATAACATGAATTATGTTAACTGTGCATGTGAAAAGTTGGGTTAATTAACCTGATGTTTTGTTTTCTTCTTTTTCTTCTTCTGATTCAACCGCACCTTGGAATCGAGTTTAACCAAAAACAAAAATAAGTTGGCAACGTGTGCTTTTAATTTTTTGTTTTTTTTGGGGGAAGAAACAGGTGAAGGAGCACCTTTGGCCGCGTGCGAAATTCCGTTTTGGCACCAATCCGTTCTCCTTTTCTTTCTCTCTTTGCATAAAATCCGCTCAACGTAGATTCTAAAATATACTTTCTTCAACTCTCTTTTTTATTTATTTTTTTAAAATTTTTGGTGATTTTTTTTTGTGAATTGGTATTGCTTTCATATTGACATTTGGTTACTTACATTAGTTACTAAATTTGTTGATTTTTAGTGATATTTCGCATTCAACAATTGGCGATTCTAAATCAGTTGATTCGAAATGTCATTTGACGTTTCCAATATCGTTTTTAGTAAATCGAGAATTGATTAAGATTTAATATCATAATGATCATTAAAAATAAAGTATAAATGTATTCGTTTTGGATATTTGCATCGG